CAAATTTGAGATAATAGCTGATGTTGTGCACCCAGAAGTAGCTTGGAAAGCTTTTGACTTCCTATCCAAATCCAAAAGGAAATTTTCCACAAGTTCGATATTAACGCCTTTGGAATGTATCTCGACGAGAGACTTTTGGTAAGAATCAAATGACTGTAAAGCTTTTTGGCCTCTTTCAGTTGAAAGAATTACACGGAGAGTTTGTGATGCCATATCAACAATTTTCACTGAGTCATCCATCAGATACTTCATTAGTAATTTCATAAGGACAACTAGAAGTTCTTCAGATATGCACACATCTATGATAAAATGAATACAACTACTTTTGGACCAATGAATTACTTGCACCTGAAGCAACAATCATCTAAACCAAATTCTGATTTTACCCTGATAGATTCAAAGACGAACCACTGAATAATTTGCAACTGAATCATCGGCCATCAATTTTGATTTTTGACATAATTCTCTGAATATCTGGACCAAACTTCTCATAGAACACTGCTTGATAAATCAATGAATTTCAACACAAGACAATTTGATCTTGAAAAATCACATTTCCTGAGAAAATAGCCCACCACCACGGGTAACTTATAGTTGAAGCAAACTCTTGATAGTTTGACCAAGATGAGGTCAAACGTCCATCTGATTTAAACTTGAATGAATGTCTTTGCCATTAATCTCCTTGCAAAACCCTAAACACACAGAGAAGAAGAAGAAACAAACAAATTGAAAAATATTTTTGGTATTTTGGTTAGAGGTTAGTAAACAGAAATAAACATAAAGCAAGTAGAAAACACAAGTGCGCTGAGAGAACCAAAAAGTATGGTCTTGTTTGTGTATGCAAATGATGCAAATGAAATGTGGGATCTTAGGGGTAAAAATTAGGGTATTACAAAACCCACTTCACATCAATTGTCTTCTTGCCTTGCGGCAATTCAACAAGTGACCAGGTATCATTGACTTCGATGGACTCCAACTCTTCAATCATTGCTTTCATCCACTTCGAATCTTTCAATGCCTCAGCTGCATTGACTGGTTCGACATCTGCGTAGAAAGCATAATGTACCAGCTCACCTTCCTCATCGACTACATCATCTGATGTAATTACACATTCTTGCAACCTTGCAGGCATGTGTCTTATTCGTCGAGGTCTGCTTGAACCTGCTTCATCTGCAACCGGTTCCTGTCGAACTTCTGTTACGACTTCAGTGGCTGGTTCTTCACAAGAGATTCTAACTGAATCCTTCTTGGCATTCTCAGTCCAGTCCCATTCTTTAAGCTCATCTATGATCACATCCCTGCTGATCACTACCTGCTTATTCAATGGGTCGGACAACTTATAACCTCCTGTTAAATGATATCCTATCAAGATCATCTGATTCGACTTATCATCAAGCTTCCTTCTCAACTGATCTGGCACATGTCTATGTGCTATAGATCCAAATACCTTCAAGTGACTGAGACTAGGCTTGACACCAGACCAACGTTCTTCTGGTGTGATTCCTTCAAGCTTCTTCGTCAGACATCTGTTTAATATATATGTTGCTGTCGAAACTGCTTCTCCCCATAATTCTTTAGGTAGATGCTTTCCGTTCAACATACTTCTCACCATATTCATGATGGTTCTGTTCTTGCGTTCTGCAATCCCATTTTGTTGTGGAGTGTAAGGTGGCACCACCTCATGCATAATCCCTTCTTTTACACATAGTGTATCGAACTCTTTCGACACATACTCTCCACCACCATCAGTCCTCAGAATTTTCAGCTTTCGGCCACTCTATCTTTCGACCATGGACTTGAATTTGGAAAATACCTCAATCACATCACTTTTCTTCTTGATGAGGTAAGTCCACAGCTTTCGGCTGTAATCATCTATAAACGTGACAAAGTATCTATTGCCACCAATCAAATCCACCTGGATTGGACCACATACATCAGAGTATATGACTTCAAGTATTGCCTTCGACTTCCTTCCTGCATCCTTGCTGAAGCTATTCTTGTGTTGTTTCAACTGAACACACTCCTCACATACTTCACTTGGAATGTCGATTTCTGGTAATCCTAAAACCATATTTCTTCTCTTCAGTTCTCTGATGTCATTAAAGTTGGGATGACCTAGTCGAAAATGCCATAACCACTCATCTCTGCTGGCTGCAGTTGCTAGACATCTGTGCTCCATCACATTGAGTCCAATCTTGAAGGTCCCATTCTGAGACATTGGAGCCTTCAAGATTAATCTACCACCTGCGTCGAGAACTCTCATCATCTTGTCTTCGACAACTACCTTGTAGTTCTTTTCGACAAGCTTCCCTATACTGAGCAAATTACTCTTCATGCCTGGTATGTACAACACATTGGAAATTGTTGACCTTTTGCCATCTTTCCTCATAATCAGAACATCACTAACACCTTCGGCTGCTAGAGTGTTGTCATTTGCAAACTTCACTGTGTTCTTCGACGAGGGCTTCATGTTGACAAACCAATATTTCCTTCCAATCATGTGTGATGAGCATCCTGAGTCCAAGTACCACTGATCTTGGAATCTTTCTTCATCTTTTGTTGTGAACATTAGCAACATTTCTTCTTCTTCATGTTTCGCCAGCTTTGCATCAGTCTCTTGATTTCTCTTTTCTTCTGGACAATCACTAACATAATGACCATACTTCTGGCAATTGAAACATTGAATGTGGCTTTTGTCTGTCTTTCGACCACCACCTCTTCCTTTACCTGCAACACCACCTCTTTGGTTACCTTGGTTCTAAGGTTTCTTCTGATTCGATTGGTTTCCTCCTTTGTTGCCATTCCAGCTACCTTTGCCTTTTATTTCCTTTTCTGTCTGCGCCTGCAAAGCCGTATCTTTTGACTTTCCTCCAGCTCTCTCAGTCATCCTCTGTTCATGAGACTCAAGAGTCCCTTGAAGCTCTTCCTTCGTCAACACTGACAGATCTTTCGACTCTTCTATGACAACTACCACGTGGTCGAATTTTGGAGCCAACGATCTCAAAATCTTTGAGACAACTGCTTTCGTTGTCAGCGCTTCTCCACATACTTTGATTTGATTCACCAACTTTGTAACTCCGGTGAAGAAATCTGTAATACTTTCGTTATCTTCCATCTGAAGTAACTCATAGGTTCTCTTGTGAGTTTGTAACCTCACCTCTTTCACCTTCTCTGCGCCTCTAAACGACTTTTCAAGAATCTCCCATGCTTCTTTTGCTGAATCAACATCACTAACCTTTTCAAAGTTATCAGGATCAACACACTAATGAATTATAAAGAGTGCTTTATAATCCTTCTTCTTCAGTTCTTTGTGCGCAGCCTTTTCCGCCTCCGTTGCATTCTCCCCAAGCGATGTTACTCCGTCCTTCAGAAGATCCCAAAGATCTTGATAACAAAAGATCACCTTAATCTGCTTGCACCAATTCTCATAATTGTCTTTCTTGAGAATTGGCAGGGTTGCCGGAAAGTTGTCGTTCGAATAGTTCATCGCCATCACTATCTTCCTTCCTTGAATCTCTCAACCGGAGCTCTAGATACCAGATGTTGGAAATTCACCTCACACCCTATGAAGAATTCCCTTCAATCTTGATCTCAAGATTGATGAACAAATCCACAATATGATAGTAATGGTAATAACAAGTAATTATCAAGAACAACAAAAGAAAAGAAGAACAAATAAGAAAGAGAAGAATGAGAGAAGAAATGTTTGGGGAGAATGTGTTACCCACAACTGTGATATTTCTTATTGCTTATAGAACTTTCACTTGCTAAACACTGCAACTGTGAAATCTGTTCTATGTTATGTTTGAATACAAAGCAAGGCACCCTATTTATAGTTTTAGGTTTACAAAAGCGCAAAACATAAAAGGTCCAAAATATTCAAATCAAATCTGTTTACTATGAATTATATTTAACATTTATGTTTTAGTGAAAATAAAAAGGTGATAGATTCATATATTCAAATAAATAAAGTGTTTATGTTTTAGTGAAAATAAAAGGGTGATGACATATATAAAATTACATCATATTTTTTATTTTAAAAAATTGACTTTAGATGTCTTCATTATTTTTCATTCATGCTAATAATTTTATTCGTATTTTTTATTTAAATGAATTTTTTAAAAATACTATAATAAATTTCTTAAGTCATTAATTTTTTTCCTATATATTTCGAATCAATCTGATATCGTCTTACATTAATCCGGTCTAAACTAACATATATATTATTGAATTTTTTTAATAAATTTAAATACGAGTTAGAGTCATTAAAATAACCCAATCAAAATTTAAGACAGAATATAACCCTTTCCGACCCGTCCCTTGCTCAACCCTAAAAGAATCTCACCTAAGAAATTAAACATGTCCAGTTTGACTTTGAGTTATTTAAAGTTAATTTGTGGTTAAATCTTTTAAATCTTTATATCTCTTTTGATTTGAATTTGAAAGAATTGAGATTGACAAATAATTTAGAGAAGTGAATAGATTCTGGATTTGATTTTGGGAAGACATATAAATTTTATGAGTGATTTTTTTTACTTTTCATAATTTGTTTTTTTTAATTAATAACCATTTTTTTTAAAATTTTAAATTTTGATTTAATATTAAATATTTTTTATTATTATTTTAGTTTAAATCAATAATTATAAGAAATAGAAAATGACACCGGCACTTACTTTTCTTTAAAATAAAAAATAAGAAAAAAATAAAATAAAAAACTAATTTCGCGATTGAATTATAATATGGTCAAATTATAATTCAACACATTTTTACTTAAATATTAAAGTAACCCAATCCAAAAATAGTGTGGACAAGACTTTCCGTATTCATGCAACTAAAAAAAAACAAAAAAAAAAACTTTAACCATAATTTGTTTTCTTATGTTTCCATGTGCTTTCTTGCTGAAACTTTATCCATTTGTTTCACTTCATTCATCTCTTGTGTCAACTCTAAATTTTCCGATACAATTTACGCAATGAACGAGGAATTCGCATGACACAAAAATGGCAGCACCCATTCTCCCATTAACCACATTTTCTCTCACAAAACCCAACACAGAAACAACACCAAAACACCAAACTGCTATCTTTCATATCCTTTCTCTCATACCCAAATGCACCAATCTCACAGACCTCAAACAAGTTCAAGCTTACTCCATTAAGACCCATCTTCAAAACAACACCAATGTCGTCACAAAGTTCATAAATTTCTGCACTTCTAACCCCACAGAAGCTTCCATGGACCATGCATACCACCTGTTCGACCAAATTACTCTACCAAAAATTGTTCTTTTCAACACCATGGCACGTGGGTATGCTCGCGTTAATGACCCTCTTAGAGCAATGATTCTCTTTTCTCGCGTTCTCTTCTCCGGCCTTGTTCCCGATGACTACACATTTTCTTCACTTCTCAAGGCTTGTTCAAAGGTTAAGGCTTTGGAAGAAGGGAAACAACTGCATTGTTTTGCTTTGAAACTTGGGGTTAGTGATAATGTATATGTTGTTCCAACACTTATTAATATGTATACTGCTTGCGGTGACATTGATGCTTCTAGAAGGGTTTTTGATAAGATTGAAGAGCCTTGTGTTGTTGCGTACAATGCAATCATTACTAGTTTAGCTAGGAATAGTCAACCTAATGAGGCATTGGCTTTGTTTAGAGAATTGCAGGAGAGAGGTCTTGAGGCGAGTGATGTTACCATGCTTGTTGTTCTTTCGTCCTGTGCTTTGCTTGGATCATTGGATTTGGGGAGGTGGGTGCATGAGTATGTTAAGAAGTATGGGTTTGATCGATATGTGAAGGTAAATACAACTCTTATAGATATGTATGCTAAATGTGGGAGCTTGGAGGATGCTGTTAATGTGTTTAGAGACATGCCTAAGAGAGACACGCAGGCTTGGTCGGCGATGATCATGGCTTATGCAACACACGGGGATGGTTTCCAAGCAATATCGATGTTGAAAGAAATGAAGAAAGAAAAAGTGCAGCCTGATGAGATAACTTTTTTAGGTGTATTGTATGCATGTAACCATAACGGATTGGTAGAAGAAGGTTTTGAATACTTTTGTAGTATGACTGATGAGTATGGGATTGTTCCTAGTATAAAACATTATGGGTGTATGGTGGATTTGCTTGGTAGAGCCGGAAGATTGGACGAAGCCTATAAATTCTTAGATGAATTACCCATTAAGCAAACACCGATTCTGTGGCGAACATTGCTATCTGCTTGTAGTAATCACGGCAATGTTGAAATGGGAAAACAAGTAATTGAGAGAATATTTGAATTGGATGATTCACATGGTGGAGATTATGTTATTTTATCGAACTTGTGTGCAAGATATGGAAAATGGGATGATGTGAATCACTTGAGGAAAATGATGTTAAACAAAGGAGCCGTGAAAATTCCTGGTTGTAGCTCTATAGAGGTCAACAACATTGTGCATGAATTCTTTGCCGGGGATGGAGTTCATTCCATTTCTCCAACGTTGCACCGTGCACTTGATGAGTTGATGAAGGAATTGAAGTTGGCTGGGTATGTACCTGACACATCACTCGTCTTTCACGCAGACATGGAAGATGAGGAGAAGGAAATTATTCTTCGATATCACAGTGAGAAATTGGCCATTACTTTTGGACTTGCGAATACGCCGCCTGGAACAACAATCCGTGTTGTCAAGAACCTTAGAGTTTGTGGAGATTGCCATAACGCTGGTAAATTTATATCATTGATATTTGGCAGGCAAATTATTCTCAGAGATGTTCAAAGATTTCACCATTTCAAAGATGGGAAATGCTCTTGTGGTGATTACTGGTAGTAGAGTTTCTTGAGTCAAGATTCAATCTTACAACAATATCTGATAAATTGGTCAGTTTATTGCCAAAAAATCAAATACTATTAGTTGTGTTTGGAAGGAAGCGCCAGTCAGTCAGCCACTGTATACAGGCCAGAAGAAAGGTTTATTTCCTGCAAAAGGATCATGATTTACATACATATCTGGATAATTATTAAACATATTTACATAATACATCTTGCTGTAGATTGTGAGCTTGGAAGATTTAGTGTCACTCTCATGTAATATAACTTATTTTGTGGTATTTTTTTAAACATTGAAGTGTATCTATGTAAATACACCTTGTATTTTTTTAAGTGTGATAGTATATATATGCTGATGACCATGAAATTTAAGCAGTAGTGAGTGTAATGTCTTCTATTTTGGCCTTAATCCTCTTGTTTTCTGGGGAAGTGTGCTATAATCCACTGTTCAGTTGTAAGATGTAACTAGTGTCACCAATAATGATTTCAAGTAATGATTAGGTTATTTAGTTAACCGCCTGAGCCAATCAATTAGTTCGTAATGCCTTATGCATCAAAGGCTTGTTCAATTTACTTTTAGAAGATACTTTATCCATTATTTATTAAATCTCGTTTAGGAAAAAAATATTGTAATTGTTTTGTTAGTGAACCAAAATTGATTGGTGAATGGTGGTTGCAATGAATAATGGTGGTGTATTGGAGCATTCGGTGCGGTGGAGATGGGATTGAGAAGGGATTGATCTTAAATGTTAGCACTCAAATAGTCAAATAAGTATGTGAAGGAGAATAATGAATGAAAATTGAATTTGAAATTGCGTATCTGAATTCTCCGCACCTATTCTTTATATAGTGAGACAGTTGTAACAATATTCTCCCATAGGATAGCTCTTACGCGCTTAGAAGGTTCTAAACAATTTGCAACGGGAATTTCGTGAATTGTCATATTTAATTTCGTGATTAATTTTTGTTGAATATTAGCACAAAATCAAAACAGATTCTGTCATACAGCTCATTATGGCTGGATTCAAATTGTGATTAAATAGAAATTAATTGTATTATTATATTCTTACCTTATTTAGGATTAGCATTTATAGGGAGAATAATTACCCCTATTTCTTAGTGTAATTTATATTCTATAAATACTCATGTACTATGTTACAGAAAAATAATAATAGAAAAAACATATTTCTATATGGTATCAGTAGCGACAAGAATCCTTTAGGGTTTTTTTTTTTTTGCTTCCGCTCTGTTTATCTTTTTTACATCCCACAATGTCTGATACCGAGTCCTCACTTTCACCCAAACATTCCTCACCCGAACCTAAATTAGTCCGAACGTACCATGAAAACCACCCTGTTCAGATCACAACAATTCGGCTGAACGGTGCTAATTATCTTCGATGGTCGCAATCCGTTCGTATGTATCTCAGGGGGAGAGGAAAGATTGGCTACATTACTGGCGACAAAAAACAACCAGACAAGGCAGGTGCAGATTATGATACATGGGATGCTGAAAACTCCATGGTCATGACATGGTTAGTCAACTCCATGGATGAAGAGATAGGTGCAAATTATCTCTGTTATGATACTGCAAAAGAACTTTGGGAAGGTGTCTCCCAAATGTACTCTGATTTGGAAAATCAATCCCAAATCTACGAATTAACTCTCAAATTGGGAGAAATTCGGCAAGGTGAAGATTCAGTCACCAAATACTTCAATTGTCTCAAACGTATTTGGCAAGATTTGGACCTTTTCAATGAGTATGAGTGGAAATCACCTGCCGATAGCAAACATTACAAGAAGATGGTGGATGTTAGTCGTGTTTTCAAGTTCCTTGCGGGTCTAAATGTTGATTTTGATGAGGTTCGTGGCCGAATTCTAGGCAGAAATCCTATCCCTCCAATTGGTGAAGTTTTTTCAGAAGTACGTCGCGAAGAGAGTCGTCGGCAAGTGATGCTTGGCAAAAATACAGCAGCTGTCCCTCCACCAGTTGAAGGATCTGCCTTGGCAATTCCCCATGTCAATCGTAAACCACTTCATAATCAACGAGGTGGAGACAAGACTCATTTATTTTGCGATTACTGTGGGCGCAATCGCCACACTCGGGAAACTTGCTACAAACTACATGGGCGACCAAATCATGGCAAGGCTGGTAAGTTTGGTGATCGTCCTATGCCTATGGCCAATGAGGCTGATTCGTCTCCATGTACGAAGGAGCAAATGGATAACCTTCTTAAGTTTCTAAAGTCCAATTCATCTCTTAATATCCCTACTGGAACTGTGGCACAAACAGGTAAGGATTCTTGGGCACTATCTGCTCACAACCACTCTAACCCTTGGATAATAGATTCAGGGGCATCTGAACACATGACTAATTGCTCTCATCTATTCAGTACCTATTTTCCTAGTTCAGGTTTTGAAAAAGTTAGGATAGCTGATGGTAGTTATTCAAGTATTGCAGGCAAAGGCAGCATAAAAATTTCAGAGCAAATCACTTTGCAATCTGTTTTACATGTTCCTAAATTCGCTTGTAATCTTCTATCTGTTCATAAATTGTCTAAGGACACTAATTGTTCTGTTCTTTTTCGTCCCTCTACTTGTGTTTTTTAGGACCAGAACTCGGGGAAGACGATTGGAACTGCTAGAGAGATGAATGGATTGTACTACCTTGATGGAATTCAGTTTGGCAATAAAGCGTTTTTCGGTTCAAACAGTACAAACGCATCTCCTGTTTCAGATCAAATTATGTTATGGCATAAAAGATTAGGTCACCCTAGTTTTTCATATCTTAAGCATTTGTTTCCTATTTTTTCCAAAGAAATAAATTCCTCACAATTTCATTGTGAAGCTTGTCACTTAGCTAAAGATCATCGTGTGTCTTTTAAATCAAAAGCCTATTCTGCTTCTAAACCTTTTTATTTAATTCACAGTGATGTTTGGGGTCCTTCAAAAATTAAAACTATGTCTGGAAAAAAATGGTTTGTAACATTTATTGATGATCATACACGGCTGTGTTGGGTTTATCTCATGGAGAAAAAATCAGAAGTTGAACAAAGATTTCAAGATTTTTTTAACATGATTAACAATCAATTTCAAACTAAGATTGGCATTCTAAGGTCTGATAATGGCACTGAATATTTCAACAAATATTTAAGTACATTCCTTGTAACTAAGGGGATAATTCATCAATCCACTTGTCGCGATACTCCGCAGCAAAATGGTATTGCTGAAAGAAAAAATAGACATCTCCTCGAAGTCACTAGAGCTATTATGTTTTCTATGAATGTACCTAAGTATCTTTGGGGAAATGCTTTATTAACTGCTTGTCACCTCATCAATCGAATGCCATCTCGGGTGTTACAATATGAAAGTCCTGTACAAGTGTTACAAAACAATTTTCCTACATCTCGTATTATTACGGATCTTCCCCTTAAAATTTTTGGTTGTCTTTGTTATGTTTACATCCCCAATGTTTTTCGTTATAAGTTGGATCCTAAAGCCGAAAAATGTGTTTTTCTTGGCTATGCTTCCAATAAAAAGGGATACAAATGTTTTAACCCAGTTACAAAGAAATTTTTTGAAAGCATGGATGTTCACTTTGTTGAAAATCAACCTTTTTTTAAAAATTCTCTTCAGGGGGAGAGTCAATGTAATAATAAAGAAGATAATTTTTGGGAAACTTTGCCTGCTCTAGATGATATTGTGACTACAAATCACCCAAATGCTAAGATAATAGAATCTGAAACAGGGGGAGAAACACTGATTAAGGATGATAATCCTGAACTTAAAGTGTATGTTCGAAAAAAATTCCACAAAGGTGGTGCAAACCCTATTGTCTCTCCAGTAGAAATCCAATCTGATTTACCAAGTGAAGGTCCTACAGATAATCTGTCTTCTAGTTCTTCATCTGGTAATCCTTCTTACTCATCCAATGATTTATCTGATTTGTCTTTTCCTGATATTAATCTTCCAATTTCTGTGAGAAAAAATATTCCTGACCTCGATGTCCCAATTGCTGAGAGGAAAGGTTCTCGTATGTGCACTAAACATCCTATGTCTAATTACTTGTCATATGACAAACTATCACACACCCATAAGGCATATGTGTCTAGGATTTCTAATTTGTTTGTGCCCAGAACTATTCAGGAAGCATTAAGTGATCCGAATTGGAAATTAGCAGTGAAAGAAGAGATGGATGCTCTAAACAAAAATAACACTTGGAGTATCACTGATCTACCACAAGATAAAAAGGCAGTAGGGTGTAAGTGGGTCTTTACAGTGAAATGCAAGGCTGATGGAAGTGTGGAAAGATACAAAGCGAGATTAGTAGCAAAAGGATTTACTCAAACTCATGGTATTGATTACCAAGAGACTTTTGCCCCAGTTGCTAAGATCAATTCTATCAGAATTCTTCTTTCTCTTGCAGTAAATTTCAACTGGACACTATATCAATATGATGTTAAAAATGCCTTCTTGAATGGTGAATTACATGAAGAAGTATATATGAGTTTACCTCCTGGATTTGAAAAAATCTTGGAAGAAACAAAGTATGCAGATTGAGAAAATCCCTATATGGATTGAAACAATCGCCAAGGGCCTGGTTTGAGAGATTTGGAAGTGTTGTTAAGAGACACGGTTTCACCCAAAGTCAAGCAGATCACACTATGTTCTTTAAACACTCATCTGAAGGTAAGATTGCTATCTTAATAGTGTATGTTGATGACATTATTATTACAGGAGATGACGTCAAAGCAATTAGTGATCTGAAGAGAAGACTTGAGGCTGAGTTCGATATCAAGGATCTTGGAAAGTTAAAATACTTTCTTGGGATGGAGTTCGCAAGATCTAAAGAAGGTATTTTTCTCAACCAGCGCAAGTACATACTCGATTTACTTGCAGAAACAGGGATGACAGGGTCTAAAGCAGTAGAAACACCAATGGATCCCAATGTGAAACTAAAGTCAGTTGCTGAAGATGAAATAGTAGATAAAGAACGTTATCAACGATTGGCTGGAAGACTAATTTATTTGTCACATACAAGGCCAGATATAGCCTTTGCAGTGAGTGTAATAAGCCAATTTATGCATGCACCAGGTGCAGCCCACTTTGAAGCTATTTTCAGAATATTAAGATATTTGAAAGGTACTCCGGGAAAGGGGCTGATATTCAGAAATAGAGGACATATACAGGTTGAAGCCTATACAGATGCTGATTGGGCAGGTAATATAAATGATAGAAGGTCTACCTCAGGATATTGTACTTTTGTAGGTGGAAATCTAGTTACATGGAGGAGCAAAAAACAAAATGTTGTAGCCAGGAGCAGTGCAGAAGCTGAATTCCGATCTGTGGCCCATGGTTTTTGTGAAGTATTATGGATCAAAAAGTTCATGGAAGAATTGAAGTTCTTTGGCCCAACTCCAATTAAAGTTTACTGCGATAATAAGGCTGCTATTTCTATTGCCCATAATCCTGTCCTACATGACAGGACGAAGCATGTTGAAGTGGACAAGCATTTCATCAAAGAAAAAATTGACAGCGGTGAGATTTGTATGTCCTACATACCTACCAAAAGTCAAGTAGCAGATGTTCTCACAAAGAGTCTTCCAAAGAGACTGTTTGATAACATGGTGTGCAAGCTTGCTATGAACGATATATTCATGCCAGCTTGAGGGGGAGTGTTGAATATTAGCACAAAATCAAAACAGATTCTGTCATACAGCTCATTATGGCTGGATTCAAATTGTGATTAAATAGAAATTAATTGTATTATTATATTCTTACCTTATTTAGGATTAGCATTTATAGGGAGAATAATTACCCCTATTTCTTAGTGTAATTTATATTCTATAAATACTCATGTACTATGTTACAGAAAAATAATAATAGAAAAAACATATTTCTATAATTTTATACTTTTCTTGAATAGGATTGTGTTAGTAATCTCGTTTGAATGAATTACAGTGGAAATAAATAATGAAAGTAAATGGAAGAAATTAAAAGGATATGATTAGAGAGATTGTTTGAATGAATTACAGTGGAAATAAATAATGAAAGTAAATGGAAGAAATTAAAAAGATATGATTAGAGAGATTGTACTAGAGATTTATACAGGTTTGGCTGAAGATGGTTTAGTCCTTTTTTCAAGAGGTCTTCTTGAGAGTTTGACTATAAACTTTGAGCTTTCGAAGTTTATGTCCACGAACATTCATACAAGTTGATATTGATAATTTTACAGGCTTATCTCCAACCATAAATACTTTTTACCAAGGCTAAGCTAGAACTTTCTCTGAGATTTTTAGGCTGATCTCAATAACCAAAGGCAAATTTTTTTTCCCGATAAAGCTCAATAAATCAAAACAAAGATTTTAAGATTGATTTATCTCAAGAACCAAATTCAATCTTCTCAAGAGTATCACACTCTCAAGAATTAAACAAACAACATGACCACTTAGAAAAATTCTTTCTCACAAGCAAAGATTCACTTATAAGCATGAAAACAATTTTAAGTGAAAGAAATATTTTCTAGAGAAAGTGAGAAAGAAGTTTAGAGAGATAAATTTCAAGAAAATGTAAATTGTTGAAAAATGGAGTGACATGAAGAGGAGGCGAGTCTCCTTTATATAGGAGTTGGAAAAACTAAAAAAAGGAAATGATCCATAGGAGAAATTGATGAATCAATCGATTGGCATAAAGCTCTAGTCGATTGGTCAACTCATTTTTAATCAAGGGTTAATACACCTTTTGCCCCTTGTCATTTGGGGCGAATTCGGAAAAGGACCCCTTAAAAAACACAGATTCCGTCCTTACCATTTGAAGATTCTTCACTTTTAGACCTTAAGTGGATCTGGTCAACTAAGATGCTGATGTGGTATTGACAACGTGACATTTTTTACACTATTCACTTAAGTAACAGCCTATGTGTAATTTAATATGTTAATAATAATGTTAATTCGTTTGTTCTAATTAATAAAACAAACAAATTTGTAACAAAGTGCCATATAAAATTTCGTTTACCCCCTTGAAACCTATAATAGAAAAGACATATCCTTATCGTCTTCTCCAAGATATTCTTCACTCATTGTTAGGTTTATAAGGTACGTTTCCCTTTTGTAATCAGTTAATCGTAGTTAATTGTCACCCATGGTTGATTTTTGAATGTCCATTTTAGGTATGATACTGTTCAACTTAATTCTTCACCACAACAGAGAGTTTGTTCGTGAAAGCTTTGTTTTCTATAGAGGAGGAGTTGAAACTATCGTTAGTGGCCAGTATGTAGACACATGGTCGTATTTTGAAGCCTCGAGCTTAGTAAAGGAGTGTGACGTTGACGAGAGTGGTATCCGAATACGGAGAAAGATTGAACGGATTGATGAAAGTTTCTTCCATCTGACTAATGATTCACATGTTACAAAAATTTCCAAGCATTCTATTTCTCCCAATATTGATGGACATATATGGGTGGATCACAATGTTGCAGATAATTCAAAGAGGGTGCTCACTCCAAATTATGTAGATGTTGGCGAAGATAGTGAGCATAGCAGTGATGATGATTCTTTAGGGATCATATTTGAAGATAGTGAGGAAGAAATAGTTAATGAGAAAAACAAAGGCTTTGTGGTTGTGGAGGTTGATAAACCAGAAGAAGGTAATAGGGTTGAAATTAGTGGTAGGAAATATAGATACAAGTTAAAAGCTAACAAGGATTCATCAGTTGTAAGGTCCCCCAAAAAAATCAGGTTGGTAGTTCCATCAATGGTCATGCGTGGGAATCCAAGTTCATCAAAGTGTGTAGAACAAGATGGTGATTATGAAAGTGAAGAGTTGGGCAGCTCAAACCCAGATGATAGTGATATTGAAAGGATGCCCAAATATGAGAAGTTTAGAGGGGATTTGCTCAACAAAGACTTTGAGTTCAAACTAGGTATGGAGTTTAACTCTTGAATTTAAGGATGCCATAAGAGAATGGTTTGTTTTAAATGGTAGAGAGATTAGATTTTTAAAAAATGAAAGTTGTAGGGTAAGGGTGGAGTACAGGGGTAAATGTGGTTTTTTAGCACTTTGTAGTAAAGTGGATGACAAACACACTTTTCAAATAAAGACTTGGGTGGGGTCTTATACATGTGCTAGAGTTTTGGATAACAAGTCAGCCAACTGAAAGTGGGTGTCCAAGATTGCAGTTGAAAAGAGGCAGTCAAGTGACAAGGTTAAAGTCTCAGATCTAATGGCTGAACTTAGGACTAAATATTTAGTTGGGATTATCAAAGGAAGAGTATGGAGGGCCAAACACATAACTGAGGAAATTATTGAAGGTAACTTAACTAAGAAATATTCTTTATTATGGAGTTATGCTGCAGAACTTAGGAAGCAAAATATTGAGAATACAATGAAAATTAATGTTGAGAGACCAATTCCAACAATACCACCAAGGTTTGGTAGATTTTACTTTTGTTTTGATGGGGGCAAGAAAGAGTTTCTTAATGGTTGCAAACCATTTATTAGTGTGGATGAGTGTCACTTGAAGACAAAGCATGATGGCCAATTACTTATTGTTGTGGCTAGGGATCCTAATGACCAGTACTTTCCTTTATCCTTTGGTGTTGTGGAAATCGAGACAAAGGAAAGTTGGAAGTGTTCTTACAACTTCTTATGGAAGATATTGGGCAACACAGAAGATATGTATTCATATCAAACCAACAAAAGGTACGAATAAAGTTTAGTAGTTCCATATTTAGATTGTTTGAATTAATTGTCTGCTCACAATTTGTATTTCGATTTACAAGGTCTTGTGGCTGTGTTTGAAGAGGTGTTTGAGTTCATTGATCATAGAATATGTTTAAGACACTTGTACGCCAATTTTTTTAGAAAAATTGGTGGAGGCAGTGCAATTATGGATCTTATGATGGGAGCTGCAAAAGCAACCTACTATCAAGCTTGGGACAAGAAGATGTCTGAGTTAAGACAGTTGGATAAGAAGGCCTGGGAATGGTTAATGGGTGTTTCAACAAAATTATGGTGTAAGCATGCTTTTAAATTCCATCCAAAGTGTGATGTTCTGATGAATAACATTAGTGAGTCTTTCAACAATACTATATTGCAGGCTAGAGATAAACCAATTATCACTATGTGTGAATGGATTAGAAATTATCTTATGAATACGTTAGCTGTAAACTTAACCAAATTAGACAAGTGGACACATAAGATAATTCATATGCCTAGGAAAAGGTTAGACAAAGAGGTGATGATGAGTGGTCAGTGGGTTTCTACACGGAGCATTGGCATGATATGACAGGTAAACCATACATTTGATGGTCATCAATTCATTGTTGATCTTAGTAAAAAACATGTACATGCTGTTTTTGGGAACTTGTGAGCATTCCATATAGACATGCCATAACTGCTATGAGTTATCAGAAGTTGGATCCAGAATATTTTGTAGATGACTGCTATAGTATGGAAACATATAATAAGTGTTACTCATAAAATGTGAGTCCTACTAATGGCATGGATATATGGCCCACGGTTGATGTTGAGGATATGCTTCCACTATCATTTAAGAAAGGTCCAGGTAGACCTAGGAGACTTAGGTTTAGGGAACTTTATGAAAATGGTTCTAGAACGAGAAGGCCTGGTGTCAGTTACAGGCGCACTAAGTGTAACAAGATTGGTCATAACTCAAGAAAATGTCAGAGTAAAGAAGAAAACCCTGCTGCATTAAAGAGAAAGGTTTGTCTATTTTTTGCTCATGTCTTTTGTTACATGTTTGTTAAGTACTACATCATGTATTATGGTGCATAACTTATGATGTTTGTGTTTTGGTGTCTTAGAGAAAAACACCTAGGGTTAAACCTGCTAATACAAATGGAAAAGTGGATGAGCTTGCAGTTGAGTCTGCAGTGGATGAGAATGCAATTGATGAGCCTGCAGTGGACTACTTCCATGGTGAAATTGATGCATCAATTGAAGCAATGGTGGCCTCAATTGAAGCTAAATACCAAGAAAATCAATCCTCTCAGATTGTGAATCTAACCCCTAACACTACTGAAGTTGTTGCTGATACCATGTCTCCAAAAAAGAAACAAAGGATGGCCTCCAAGAAGAAATCTGTGTCTACTAAAAAGAAAAAAAATATGTTGTATAATATGCTTAGGTTGAAGCTTAGTATGATGTTTGTAATGCACATAATGTGTTTAGTTTGAATTTTATTATTCTGTTTATAATGCACATAATGTGCTTAGGTTGAACCTTAATTTGATGTTTGTAATGCACATAATGTGCTTAGTTTGTACCTTAGTATGACGTTGAAGCATTAATGCAGATTGGTATTTTGGAATCTTTTGTACCTTAGTATGATGTTAATTCAGACTAGTATTAGCAACATTTAATTGTTTCTATCTAATATTGTAAGTCAATTTTGAAGCATTACTTTTGTTTTTGTCTGATATTTGTTTCTATCTTATAAGTCCATTTTGACATTTACCAAACCAAACATGTAGGCTGGTATTGAACCAAATAGATATTACATACATCTATATTGCAAATTGGTATTGAACCAAACAGATATTTTTCATTTCATTCAAGATTTAGAAATTACAAGGGATTTCATTAATCTCATTACGTGGGATTACATACATCTATTGAAAACTAGTTACACTTGCATTCTACCTATTACAAAATATTATAGCAAAAACTATCCAAGATGCAACAAGAATGTAAGTGAGTGTCTGGATGATCTTGTGATCTTTTGCAGCCTTCGACTTTAGTTTCTCGATCTTCTTGTTCTTAAATGCCTTCCAAACTCATGACCAAACTCTTTCCCAAACTCAACTCCATATCTCCTCATTTCCACTTTCATGTTTTCACATTCAGAGCAACCTCCATCGTATCTTGGTTCAACTTGTTTTCCTTGGAACAGTTCATCATCCCAATGAAATCAATGACAATCATCATCATTTTGGAAAAACAAGAAAAGATATGTAACTCAGCAAACAAATGAACAAGAAAATACATATGAACGGAGGATATGAAGAAAATTTAACAAATCCCCAAAAATTTGCACTTCCAATATCTTCGTCCTGGGTTTGAACATGGATTCTCATTGGAAGCTCGTGCCCACAAACTAGAGCTTTTCTCCCATTGGACATGTAACCTGAACTCACGCTTCCAATCATTATATATTCAATGGAGGTACGAACTGAAGTTCATGAAAGAGGAAATGAAAAATTTGAACCCTAGCTGCAAACAAGAAAGAGGAAATGAAGAAGATGATTTATCCAATTTCACTTTACATTGTTTGTTTTATTAATTGGTAAAATGGAATTAATCAATTAAAAAATGCCACATTGTCTATTATAAATATTATTATTAACATATTAAATTACACATAGGTTGTTACTTAAGTGAATAATGTAAAAAATGTCACGCTGCCAATACAACATCAACATCTTAGTTGACGATATCCACTTAAGGTCTAAAAGTGGAGACTCTTTAAATGGCAAGGACATAATTAATGTTTTTTTACATGGTACTTTTTTGAATTCGCCCCAAATGGCAGGGGGCAAAAGGTGTATTAACCCTTGATCAAAAATGAGTTGACCAATCGACTAGAGCTTTATGCCAATCGATTGATTCGTCAATTTCTCCTATGGATCATTTCCTTTTTTTTATAGTTTTTCTAACTCTTATATAAAGGAGACCCGCCTCCTCTTTATTCCACTCCATTTTTCAACAATTCACACTTTATTTGAAATTTATCTCTCTAAAATTCTTTGTCACTCTCTCTAGAAAATATTTCTTTCACTTAAAATTGCTTTGGTGCTTATAAGTGAATCTTTGCTTGTGAGAAATTATTTTTCTAAGTGGTCATGTTGTTTGTTAAATTCTTGAAAGTGTGATACTCTTAAGAAGATTGAGTTTGGTTCTTGAGACAAATCAATCTTAAAATCTTTGTTTTGATTTATTGAGCCTTATCGGGAAAAATTTTGCCTTTGGTTATTGAGATCAACCTAAAAATCTCTAAGAAGGTTCTAGCTTAGCCTGTGGTAAAAGGTATTTATGGTTGGAGATAAGCCTGTAAAATTATAAAGGTCAACTTGTATGAAGGTTTGTGGACTGATTGGGAAAATAGCAAGTATAATATTTTTACCAATTGTAGTAATAAGGGAAAAGTCCCAAGTATCGATCTCGAGGACTGCGTAGTAATTAACGAAATTTTTAGGATTCAAATGAACAAAAGATCTAGTGGTTTGTTTGGTAGCAGAGTAATATAACAAGTAAATAAAGACTTATAAATCAATCTAAGAACAGTGTTAGGGGAGTGGATACGATGCGAGTAAAGACCATATATGATTATCCTGCTATAATAGTTATTAACCTTAATTCATCAGTTGGCCAATTTAGTTTTCTTAATTCCTTAATGAAAACCCTTTGATGAGTTTCATGTAAACTAATTCCTCAGTGTCATGAAAAGCATCAAGCAATAGTTCAGACCATAAAATACGTGATACGAGATATCCTCATTCCTAAGCAGTATCGACCGTGAGCCTATTTTGCAAAAGTGTAAGGTTACCTTTCCAGACTAAAACCTAAGCATAATTCGAATTCTACTTTCCAATATGAATACGCATTAAGATTGATGCAAAATAAAAGATATAAGGTGAATAACATAGTTCTAATAAAATAATCAAATAAAAGTCATTACATCGCAACTTAGGACCACCCCCTAACAACTTGGGGTTTAGCTGCTCATGTTCTTTGTAAATATAAAAGCAATTAGAAATGAAAAGGAGAAGATCATTACAATGCGAGTTGAAATCCTTGGATCATCAATTGCTTCCACTTTTGATCGATCCTTTGTTTTCCAGCCGAACTCTCCTTTCAGTTGTCAATCCTAATATCAGTTCAAAAGTGTCCCCTACTTTCTAAAAAGTGACTCTTATATCTAAATTCAAGTTACATCGCGAAATGTCTCAAATGCCCTTCGAAATAGGTCTGACAGCAAAAAATCAGAAAATATAACAATTTCACTCTCAGTGGCCCTGACACGGGCCGTGTTGTGCAACACGGGTGGCCGTGTCAGGCTGCTGACTCCTTCAGGGTGCGTTTCCATCTCCAAGGGCTGCAACACGGGCCGTATTGCATGACACGGGTACCCGTGTTGTACGTCTGATTCCCCTTTTCTTCTGCTTTGGTCTACCCGTGTCTGCCAACCGTGTCCTCCATGACACGGGACGTGTTGTGCAACACGGGTACCCGTGTTGTAGCTCTGGCTTCCCTTTTCCGACTTTTCTTTTCCTCCGAAAGCGGTGCGACTGTCATGCTATCCATTCCTGCCAAAAACACACTAAAAGAAACAGAATCAAACGCACCAGCGACAAAAGTAATACAAACTTAAAAATAAGACTTGAAGACAAACAACTATGAGTAATTCAGATAATAACAACTAAAGCTTCGAAAACAGATAAAAACGTTGCGAAATTAACAACAAACAGCGTTTGAAAACACAAGTGAAATCCACCGATCAAACTCCCCCGAACTTGAACTTTTGCTTGTCCTCAAGCAAAAAGCTCGCCAAACCGAACTTAATATCTTTTTCATAATGGAACGTCCATATAATTGTGAGTTACGGTGATGATACTCATACTTGAACTTCTCATTCCAAGTCCCCTAGGATTAATCTCGGCTTTTCCCTCAAAACAGGTAACATGCAAACACTAGACTGCGGTAAACCACAGACCTCAGTCTCCCTATGGGTAACCTCTCCGACTATGCTTTGTACTTAAGTCTTCTTTTTCGATTTTCCTCCCTTTCATTCGGACAATCACTATACGGCTTTTATGATTTTCCTCGTGTGCACAAGATTCATCAATGACATTTTCTTTTTCTGGCACTGTTATTCTTTTTGAATGGCTTTCAGGTTCGACCGCCGTTGGGCTGAATAACCGGGTGAGGGTTACCCAACTTAGAAGGATTAGTCGCCTAATTGCCCCTTTTTGTTTGTTTGTTTTTTTTCTTTTTCTATGCCTTAGCTCAATATTTTTCATTAACCTTGCACACACGATTCTTATTGATGAAACCTGATTGTCAAAATAAACTACTCATGGGTACTTCTCAGATCAAAGCACTATGGTACAAATCTACACGTCGAACTCGTTCCTATTCGGGAAACCCAGGGTGTTTGCCTTTTACCTATCTCTCAAGATTGTTCCGATTTCATCCTCACAGTTCTTTTCTGAGTATTCTATATACTTTCTCATCACCTCACTCAACATCTTCACTAAAAAGTTCCCCAACCAACAATGTTATTAATTTCATTAGCTCAATGTCAGGGGGTTTTCCTGTGGACTTGCTATCATGTTCTCAAACTAACACTGAAAATTAAATAACCAAATAACTAAAACAGAATTGAAAACACACAAATAACATAAACAAATAACATAAAAACACAAATAAAATACCCCTACACTAGGATTCAACAGTGTCCTCACTGTTGGAACACTAGTAGCAGAGGAATCACAGAGTTCATGGTTGCGGAGGTTGGTCGTGCAGCATCATCTGCCGCATCCATTCGTGCATCTCACCGATCAACCTGCCTTGTCGGATTTGTTCGTTCCCTTGTCTTGTCTGCTCCTCGCCTCGCCTTGTCTGCTCACTTCGGAGATGACACATCTCATTCTCCATCCAATCCCATTCTTTTTTAGATAAGCTCCAAGAGCCTGAGCTGGATTCCTGATGGGGTGAGACTCGAGTAGGCGGTATAGGCGCTTCTTCTACTTGATCTCCTTCATCCTCAAAGAATTGTGTACCTGTACCATCATAAAATTGGTCTTCTTCATCCTGCATTGTGCTCTCATATAGCCAGTTATTCACATTTTAAATACTAATAAAGTCAGGGGCAGGTAAAGCGAGGAGATGACTGTTTCGGCTTACCAAGGAGTAGTAATTATCAAAGACTCGAATCATACCTTGGGCAGTCAGCCTGGCAAGATCTATTTTTGTCTTACCTGCAACAGTGGGTTCCTCTCTCAAGAGAGCACCGTGGCCAAAGTGATTTGCAATTTGAGTAATCATACCGCCTACACTGATTTCGCCGGAAGGTACATTCGCAACCCTCTTCAGGTGGTCAGCAGCAAAGGCAGCTACATTAATAAGTTCTTGATTTGCCATGCCATACATGAAGTACAACTCCCTCTGAGTCGCC